TTTGAATGTTGACTTTCTCTCTCAAATATCATCTTGTGTTCTTGAAGATATATTTCAGATCTGCCATGGATTATGAAGATTGCATGAAGATTGATCACTAAAGGGGACTATCAATTGGTATTAAAGCAGTGTTTGCACGAAATCAAGACAAGAAATCATCAAACTGAAGATTTTTAAAAAATTTCTTGTGTTCATCTTAATATTCTTATTGTTCTTAATTTTTCTTTGATTTTGATCAATTTTTTTTTTAAATTTTTTGAGTTTTGATGTTAAAACAATGATCAAAGTGTGCGTCTTAGAATCCTGAATCTTTGTTTTTCATGCGATTTCTTAATCTGATCATTCGTTCTTGAGTTTTTGATTGATTTAGTGTTTTAATTTTTTTTTTCGTGTTCTTGAAATTTTTTTAAAACTAGTGTTTTTAATTTTTTTTGTGTTTATTTTTGTGTTAAATCGCTCATAGCCCAGCCCATTGTGAAGCCCAACTTCTTTTCTATGTATTCAATTTTAATCGGATTCAGGCTCTGCCTTGAGCGAGTTAGGGATACCTCGCACACCTCTTGTGCGAATTAAAGCTGTGTGTTGAGCGGATCAAGATCATAGCTTTGAGCGGACTACACCTTGCTTTAACCGATTTAGCCTTTGATTTAGGCGATTTAGCTTCAAGCTTGATCGATTTAGCTTGTAGGTTGAGCGATTTAGATCACAGCAGTGAGCAGACTTAATCGTATTCGGTCATATTTCAATCAGAGTTGAGCGGATATTTGGGCGAGTTAGTGTTAGTATATAGCGGATGTTTGAGCGATTTAGGCATAGTCTTGAGCGATTTAGGTCATAAGTGTGAGTGATTTAAAGACATCCTTGTGCGATTTAATTTCTGTGTTGTGCGGTTTAAGCTAGAGAGTTGAGCGATTTAAGACTTAGCTTTTTGTGCATCGAGTTATCCGATTTATTAAATCGTTCAATCCATTTCACCCGGATTCTTAATCGCTCAAAGTAAATTGCTCTGTGTCTAATTTGTTCACTACTTCTTGACCGAATTTCGATTTCAACCTAAATCGAACAGCAACCTTTCTTTGATTGAGACTGCTCATTTTATTTGATTTTGGCCAGACTGCTCGATTACAGAGAATCGATTCAATTTTGACTTGGTCTTCATCTGGTTCTTTTTATCGCTCATCTACAGGTTCTGTGTTTGTTCTTTATTGCACAAACCATACACAGTTTTCTGTCTTGGCCGATTTGAAACAATGGTAAGCACATTCTGTGGTGAGTGAGTTTTGAGCGATTTATCTTGAATTTATCGGATAAGCAACTGTTGAATCGATTAAAAGCTAACAAGAACACAACAGCTGTTTGAATTTCATCGCTTGGTATTTCTCACAGGAGCTGATTCAGTTGCAGGTGATGAGTTTCTGGTTATTACAGTTCTAACAGCTGATTCGAGCCATCAATACTTCTGTCCTTGATTCTTGACTAGCTGCAGCCTGGTAAATCGTGTGTGAAAGGACTGTCCATCAACTGGTGGTACAAGAGTTTGGTCAGTCTGTTCGAATAAGATCTGGCCAACAGGTTCTAAGGACAGTTTGTGGTTCTGCTACTCGTTGAAACTGCTCACAGTCCATTCATTTTTGAACTTCATTCAGTCACTATCTTAGTACTTTGTGTTAGTCTATGCTGTTAATTTTGTTTTTGACTCTGTGGAGAATAGTTTGGTTTTGAATGATTACAACATGATAGAAGATTTTAAAAGAATCATCATATGGAATAGATTAAACTGCAGAATTCAATGTATTCATTAGAGGCCGAGTTTGCAAGACTGTTGTGGGTTTTTGGCATGAACTCCTAAGTAACCGCTGTGGAGCATCCCCTAATAGAGAAGCATGTTGTCTTATCTGTTTCAACTTTTAATTGTTCATTTGCAGTCACACGATCATCAGCATTAGCAGCAATTGACTGTGTACAGTTTATCAACAGAGTCCTGTCATCCATAGTTTCAGCTGATTCAGAAGAAATTGATTGCTTGTGGTTTCAGGCAGAAAAGAAGGTTTGAAGGCATAAAAGAAAGGAAGGCCATAAAATTGAAGGCTGTTTGTTTCAGATTTTCTGCTGAAAATCTTGCACTTTCAGCTGTAATATGATCAAATGTGTTTGAGTATTTGAATTTGAACTGCTCATAATTGCAATCTGAAATTCAGAAGAAGAGTGGACTTTGGTGTGCAGATTTGATTAGTTCTTTGTAATCTTTGTAATTGGGCTTGTTGTGTTTTTGGTTTTTGAGTTTTAAGTTTTTGTTTAGATTTTAATTTTGGATCATTTCGTTTATCTGTTTTGGTTTTTGTTTTAACTGTTTGAGAATCCTTAAACTGTTTTCTGTCGAGTAAACTGTTTTTCATCAGTTTTAACTGTTTTGAACAGTTTTAACTGTTTTCAATAGTTTTGACTGTTTTTACTGATTTTTGACAATTCCTCGTCGTTTTTCTAAATTCTCATCTGTTTTTTGTGTTTTCTGTTATTTTTTTGAGCTTAGCTGTTCCTGATTTTTTTACTGATTTCACTGCATAGATCCTATAACTGATCAATCTTACTTGTTTAAATGACAGGTATCCTAAAGAAGGAGAATCAAGAGATGAGAACTCAGATTGTTGAGCTGGAAAAGAACATTGTGAACTATAAAGAGAAATACATAAATATATATACTAAGAATTATGTTAATGAGGAATGTATTAAAGATTTGAAACGGGAGCATAAAGAAGAATTAGAAAGAGTTGAGAATGATTCCAAATATCAGATTAATAAACTTGAAAAATCCTTG